CACATGTTGAACTCAAATACCTGTACTTTCTACTTCTCACATGTTGAACACAAATACCTGTACTTTCTACTTCTCACATGTTGAACTCAAATACCTGTACTTTCTACTTCTCTCATGTTGAACTCAAATACCTGTACTTTCTACTTCTCACATGTTGAACTCAAATACCTGTACTTTCTACTTCTCTCATGTTGAACCCAAATACTTGTACTTTCTACTTCTTACATGTTGAACTCAAATACCTGTACTTTCTACTTCTTACATGTTGAACTCAAATACCTGTACTTTCTACTTCTTACATGTTGAACTCAAATACCTGTACTTTCTACTTCTTACATGTTGAACCCAAATACCTGTACTTTCTACTTCTTACATGTTGAACTCAAATACCTGTACTTTCTACTTCTCACATGTTGAACTCAAATACCTGTACTTTCTACTTCTCACATGTTGAACACAAATACCTGTACTTTCTACTTCTCACATGTTGAACACAAATACCTGTACTTTCTACTTCTCTCATGTTGAACTCAAATACCTGTACTTTCTACTTCTCACATGTTGAACTCAAATACCTGTACTTTCTACTTCTCTCATGTTGAACCCAAATACCTGTACTTTCTACTTCTCTCATGTTGAACTCAAATACCTGTACTTTCTACTTCTTACATGTTGAACTCAAATACCTGTACTTTCTACTTCTCACATGTTGAACTCAAATACCTGTACTTTCTACTTCTCTCATGTTGAACTCAAATACCTGTACTTTCTACTTCTCACATGTTGAACTCAAATACCTGTACTTTCTACTTCTCTCATGTTGAACCCAAATACCTGTACTTTCTACTTCTCACATGTTGAACTCAAATACCTGTACTTTCTACTTCTTACATGTTGAACTCAAATACCTGTACTTTCTACTTCTTACATGTTGAACTCAAATACCTGTACTTTCTACTTCTTACATGTTGAACTCAAATACCTGTACTTTCTACTTCTCACATGTTGAACTCAAATACCTGTACTTTCTACTTCTTACATGTTGAACCCAAATACTTGTACTTTCTACTTCTTACATGTTGAAACTCAAATACCTGTACTTTCTACTTCTTACATGTTGAACTCAAATACCTGTACTTTCTACTTCTTACATGTTGAACCCAAATACCTGTACTTTCTACTTCTTACATGTTGAACTCAAATACCTGTACTTTCTACTTCTTACATGTTGAACTCAAATACCTGTACTTTCTACTTCTCACATGTTGAACTCAAATACCTGAACTTTCTACTTCTCACATGTTGAACTCAAATACCTGTACTTTCTACTTCTTACATGTTGAACTCAAATACCTGTACTTTCTACTTCTTACATGTTGAACTCAAATACCTGTACTTTCTACTTCTCACATGTTGAACTCAAATACCTGTACTTTCTACTTCTTACATGTTGAACTCAAATACCTGTACTTTCTACTTCTCACATGTTGAACTCAAATACCTGTACTTTCTACTTCTTACATGTTGAACTCAAATACCTGTACTTTCTACTTCTTACATGTTGAACTCAAATACCTGTACTTTCTACTTCTTACATGTTGAACCCAAATACTTGTACTTTCTACTTCTTACATGTTGAACTCAAATACCTGTACTTTCTACTTCTTACATGTTGAACTCAAATACCTGTACTTTCTACTTCTACATGTTGAACTCAAATACCTGTACTTTCTACTTCTTACATGTTGAACCCAAATACCTGTACTTTCTACTTCTTACATGTTGAACTCAAATACCTGTACTTTCTACTTCTCACATGTTGAACTCAAATACCTGTACTTTCTACTTCTCACATGTTGAACACAAATACCTGTACTTTCCTACTTCTCACATGTTGAACTCAAATACCTGTACTTTCTACTTCTCTCATGTTGAACCTCAAATACCTGTACTTTCTACTTCTTCACATGTTGAACTCAAATACCTGTACTTTCTACTTCTCTCATGTTGAACCCAAATACTTGTACTTTCTACTTCTTACATGTTGAACTCAAATACCTGTACTTTCTACTTCTTACATGTTGAACTCAAATACCTGTACTTTCTACTTCTTACATGTTGAACTCAAATACCTGTACTTTCTACTTCTTACATGTTGAACCCAAATACCTGTACTTTCTACTTCTTACATGTTGAAACTCAAATACCTGTACTTTCTACTTCTCACATGTTGAACTCAAATACCTGTACTTTCTACTTCTCACATGTTGAACACAAATACCTGTACTTTCTACTTCTCACATGTTGAACACAAATACCTGTACTTTCTACTTCTCTCATGTTGAACTCAAATACCTGTACTTTCTACTTCTCACATGTTGAACTCAAATACCTGTACTTTCTACTTCTCTCATGTTGAACCCAAATACCTGTACTTTCTACTTCTCTCATGTTGAACTCAAATACCTGTACTTTCTACTTCTTACATGTTGAACTCAAATACCTGTACTTTCTACTTCTCACATGTTGAACTCAAATACCTGTACTTTCTACTTCTCACATGTTGAACTCAAATACCTGTACTTTCTACTTCTCTCATGTTGAACTCAAATACCTGTACTTTCTACTTCTCACATGTTGAACTCAAATACCTGTACTTTCTACTTCTCTCATGTTGAACCCAAATACCTGTACTTTCTACTTCTTACATGTTTGAACACAAATACCTGTACTTTCTACTTCTTACATGTTGAACTCAAATACCTGTACTTTCTACTTCTTACATGTGAACTCAAATACCTGTACTTTCTACTTCTTACATGTTGAACTCAAATACCTGTACTTTCTACTTCTCACATGTTGAACTCAAATACCTGTACTTTCTACTTCTTACATGTTGAACCCAAATACTTGTACTTTCTACTTCTTACATGTTGAACTCAAATACCTGTACTTTCTACTTCTTACATGTTGAACTCAAATACCTGTACTTTCTACTTCTTACATGTTGAACCCAAATACCTGTACTTTCTACTTCTTACATGTTGAACTCAAATACCTGTACTTTCTACTTCTTACATGTTGAACTCAAATACCTGTACTTTCTACTTCTCACATGTTGAACTCAAATACCTGAACTTTCTACTTCTCACATGTTGAACTCAAATACCTGTACTTTCTACTTCTTACATGTTGAACTCAAATACCTGTACTTTCTACTTCTTACATGTTGAACTCAAATACCTGAACTTTCTACTTCTTACATGTTGAACCCAAATACCTGTACTTTCTACTTCTTACATGTTGAACCCAAATACCTGTACTTTCTACTTCTTACATGTTGAACTCAAATACCTGTACTTTCTCCTTCTTACATGTTGAACTCAAATACCTGTACTTTCTACTTCTTACATGTTGAACTCAAATACCTGAACTTTCTACTTCTTACATGTTGAACTCAAATACCTGAACTTTCTACTTCTCACATGTTGAACCCAAATACCTGTACTTTCTACTTCTTACATGTTGAACTCAAATACCTGTACTTTCTCCTTCTTACATGTTGAACTCAACCTTACTTAATGTTGAACTCAAATACCTGTACTTTCTCCTTCTTACATGTTGAACTCAAATACCTGTACTTTCTACTTCTTACATGTTGAACTCAAATACCTGAACTTTCTACTTCTTACATGTTGAACTCAAATACCTGTACTTTCTACTTCTCACATGTTGAACTCAAATACCTGAACTTTCTACTTCTTACATGTTGAACTCAAATACCTGTACTTTCCTACTTCTTACATGTTGAACTCAAATACCTGTACTTTCTCCTTCTTACATGTTGAACTCAAATACCTGTACTTTCTACTTCTTACATGTTGAACTTCAAAACCTGAACTTTCTACTTCTTACATGGTTGAACTCAAATACCTGTACTTTCTACTTCCTTACATTGTTGAACTCAAATACCCTGTACTTTCTCCTTCTTACATGTTGAAACTCAAATACCTGTACTTTTCTACTTCTCACATGTTGACCTCAATACCTGTACTTTTCTACTTCTCACATGTTGAACTCAAATACCTGTACTTTCTACTTCTTACATGTTGAACCCAAATACCTGTACTTCCACTTCTTACATGTGAACCCCAAATACCTGTACTTTCTACTTCTCACATGTTGAACCCAAATACCTGTACTTTCTACTTCTTACATGTTGAACCCAAATACCTGTACTTTCTACTTCTTACATGTTGAACCCAAATACCTGTACTTTCTACTTCTTACATGTTGAACCCAAATACCTGTACTTTCTACTTCTTACATGTTGAACACAAATACCTGTACTTTCTACTTCTCACATGTTGAACTCAAATACCTGTACTTTCTACTTCTTACATGTTGAACCCAAATACCTGTACTTTCTACTTCTCTCATGTTGAACTCAAATACCTGTACTTTCTACTTCTCTCATGTTGAACCCAAATACCTGTACTTTCTACTTCTCTCATGTTGAACCCAAATACCTGTACTTTCTACTTATTACATGTTGAACCCAAATACCTGTACTTTCTACTTATTACATGTTGAACCCAAATACCTGTACTTTCTACTTCTTACATGTTGAACCCAAATACCTGTACTTTCTACTTCTTACATGTTGAACTCAAATACCTGTACTTTCTACTTCTTACATGTTGAACCCAAATACCTGTACTTTCTACTTCTTACATGTTGAACTCAAATACCTGTACTTTCTACTTCTTACATGTTGAACCCAAATACCTGTACTTTCTACTTCTTACATGTTGAACACAAATACCTGAACTTTCTACTACATTTCAAAGCCTCTTTACTTCTACTTGAGTAAAGAAGTTTAGTCAGTACTTTTACTTTAGTATTTTTAAACACGAGAATCTGTACTTCTACTTGAGTAAAGGATGTGTGTACTTTTGACATCTCTGTCTCAGTGTGATATTCCCAGTGTGTGGACTTACTGGTTTCTTGAGAAAGAACACGGACAGAGCTCCGATGAGAGGCATGTCTCCCAGCAGCGGCTCCATCACCACTCTCAGCACGCCGTGGATCTATGGAAACACAACAGGGATATATTGATAACACACACACACACACACACAAACACACACACACTTCTGGCCCTTGACATTCCTCTGTGGAGCCGCTAGCTGCAGCACATGACCGGCTGGAAACTGGATCCCAGTCTGACTTCACACCACATCTTCTCCATGACACACAATGATAACAACAAGGATTATGGAAATGGAAGAGTTATGAATGTGTCAGGTGGACATCACAAAGCTGCTGACGACAGCGGATGTTCAAATTACAGCACTAATGTTCGTGTTTTGGGGTTAAATCTGTACTTTCAGGATGCTCTAAGGCACTTCCACATTGTCTTCCTTACAATATATTTTACTTCTCTACTTAACTGTATTTCTTTGCTTTAAGTGCTGTCATGTGAGTTGATGTCTTTGGTTGTTATCTAATTAGGCTGTGATTTAATGTACGTTGTTTTTTTTGGCATTGCTTTTTGGGTTGTTTTAGCATGTAACAACACGCACACACACACACACACACACACACACACACACACACACACACCAGTGTTTGCCCTATATACAAATAGCGGCGGCGCAGCTTGGGGGCGCCAGCCAGGTACCCAAAAAAAAGAAAAAAAAAGTGGCGACCCTTTTTCATTTGTTATTGTTTGTTATGTTGATTTATAGTATTTGTGTTACTGTATGTTCAATAAAGATGTATTTTTGCTAAATCTTGAGACATTGCCTAGACCCTCCAGAAAAACGCGGGCAAAAATCCTTGATTATGCGATTAAACATGCGGGGTTTTTATGTGATTTTATGCGGTGAAATTGCGGGAAGTTGCGAAAAAGAATAGATTTTTTTTTAAATATTGGGCTGTTTTATTTATTCTCTCTCACACACAACCTGCCACTAACGTTAACCCCCTTTCCTATTCAATGAAACACATTCAATGTTTATCTATTGTAAAAGCAATTGGGCTATTTTAATCACACACACACACACACACACACACACACACACACACACACACACACACACACACACACACACACACACACACACACACACACACACACACACACACTTCTCCGCCTCATTCTGTTTTCATTTACTCGTTCATTATCTGACCAGCTTCAATCTTGTAGGCTACTCACCTCGTTTCTTGTAGCCCTCGAAAGACTTTTGGAGGTTCACTCTACGGTGTTGTTTACCTTCTGTGATGCGCAAGTTGAGGACGTCGCGTCATCATCATCATCACTTCACGTCAAGACGAGTTAACTTTTTTTGCTCAACTTTGTGTGGAATAATGCGGGGATTATGCGGCCTTTTGATAAATATGCGGCCTTTTAAAAATCTGCGCCATTTTGCTGATTATGCGGTAAATTCTGCGATCGCAGAATCACGTATTTCAGTGAGGTTAAGGACTCTGAGTGTCTAAGTTATCTCAGTGGGTCTCAAACAAATATGTGTTTACAAATTATGTAAACACATATTTCCAAGGCACTCCTTTATAATTATTAGGATAAATAAAAACAGGTTTGAAATCATTCCAGTGTATACTATAGGACAGTAAACCAGACATATCGTTTAAAACTGGAGAGATTAAAAAATATGCATAAATAAATGTCAACTGGTAAAATAAGATATGAATGAACAACAAAAATAAAACAAGTTTCTTTTATTTGTTATTGGCTATGTTCAGATACTTATTTGATTATTAAAATGTAAACCGATCTTTTTCATATGAGTGTTTAGAGTACCCCCCATCAGGTCTCTAGTCATTGGGCGCTCAAAGTGCACCAGATTGAAGCATTTTACTTTAAAATGTTCAAAAAAAAATCTTCCCGGGGGGCATACCCCCGGACCCCCCTAGAGGAAGTGACGTCCACCCCCCAATTAAGACATGTTGATACAATACTGAACACATTTGAAGCCATTTTGACGTATATGACCTATGTCAATAAGTTTCTGTTTTTGTAGTTTGTCTTTTGTAGAGATTTTTCATTTATTCTTTATATATAAAATCTCGCCGAGGGCAGCAAATAGTCTAGAGCCGGCCCTGGTGCCAGGCCTCAAGAGCCTTTCCTGTGCTGGCAGACTCATAGAAACAAATTGGCGGGGCACACTTCGCACGCACTAAAAAATTCCACGCGCTCCGCGCTCACATTATGCTGCACCCACGTGCCTTAGCACCGCTGCTATGACTGCATGCTGGGAAACACTTATTAACAATTATTTATTTTTATCATTTTAAAACGTTTGAACCCTCTCCTCACAAAGCTGTCAGTAGTATATGATGCACCTGCTGTGTGTGTGTGTGTGTGTGTGTGTGTGTGTGTGTGTGTGTGTGTGTGTGTGTGTGTGTGTGTGTGTGTGTGTGTGTCTTATAATGAGCCGCAGAGATATGTAGGTCTCACTGAGTTACATAATGGGGGCAGCAGCAGTAAATGTCTCCCAGGTATAGACCTAACACCTCTTGGTCTCCAAGGAGCAACACTGATTGTTTTCAGTGTTTGTTCCACTGCTGGAACACAGAAAGGCCAAGGACAGACGGGAACAACAACAACAACAACACAGTCATGTAGTCAAGAGGGGGGCTTCTCATATAAGTATATAGTACTGTATATGTGACTCTGTTTTTGCCTTCACCTGTCCTTTAATGACCTAATCACTCAATTCAAAATGTTAATAACATACACTCAATACGGGGGCTTGAACAGATAATCCTAATATTTAAGTACTATAATTGTCTTATAATCAATCAAAGGGGGTTACAACACAATACAATAAAAAAAAACAGATTCCTGCGGTGTAACACTTTTTGTTTTACAGATTTGTCTTTTGGAACAAACGTCAGAGCAGAAAATGACTTTTGAACGGGCTTAGTTGTAAAGCATCTCATAATGGCTGCTTACATATTGCACTGTTATTGTTTGTGTTGTTTACGTCATCAGTCATGCCGGCCTCATCAGTGTGAGTTGGCAGCGGACATGAGGAAGTTGTGCGTGGAATCATTAGACTAAAAGCTTTTTATATGCAGACATTTGATAGATGTCACTGCATAGGAATGATAAGGCAAAAACAGACGAGAGGAGCTCCTTGCCAAATAACTTTGTATAAGCTGTCCTGACTTTACAGCTGCTCCTGAAGAAGCCCATTAAATTACAGAGGCGGATATAAAGAGGATTTCTTACCTGGATGCTCTTGATGCCCGCTTTGCAGTAGTAGCGTTTGATGTCCACGTCAATCTCTGTGTTGCCAACAAAACTAAAGGGAACAAAAACACAAAATAAGTTGGAATATATTTTTTTATTTATTTGTATTCTTTAATAGAAGAACATTATATTAAAAGCACAGTTTTGCAAATCATATCTCTTTAGTGACCCGAAAATGGCAAATTAAATACAAAAAAGTACATAGGGGTTGTTTGAAATGACAAATATCTACACACGTACATACTTACACACACACACACACACATTACATGTCATTTGTTAGACGCTTTTATCCAAAGCTGACTGCAGTGGGACTCGAACTTGCTTTCCCCTGATTCAAATTCCAGCACACTACCCACTGAGCCACAGCATTCATATATACATATACATATATACAATACATACACACATATACATACATACACATACACCTATATATGCAGGGCTGCACATAACAGGTGCGCACCCCCCGCCAAAAAAGAATTGAGAGAGGGAGAGAGAGAGAGAGAGAGAGAGAGAGGAGGAGGAGATGAGAGAGAGATAGGGATGAGAGAGAGCAGAGAGAGACGAGAGGAGAGAGAGAGAGAGAGAGAGGAGAGAGGAGAGAGAGAGAGAGAGAGAGAGAGAGAGAGAGGAGAGCGAGAGAGAGAGAGAGAGAGATATTTGCGAGTTGCATAAGAACACATAGACTTTACTTGGCGGGCCGCCCAGGTATATTAACGGCCGCCAAAGTATCATTCGCGAGGCCGTTTAGGTTTAATTGTTTTAATCCGTGCGCGAGCACCACGGCATCTGCGATCCCTCGCTCTACCCCTCGCTATCGCGTGAAGGGTGTGCTTAATGCGCTCCGCACAGTAACCCTGCTGCGTGCTCACTAGCGCACTCCCCCCCCCTTCATAAAGTCAAGTACCCCTCAAAAGGTCCGGTTTATTTCATTTTAAGGATGCGCACCAAGCAACATCTCCAGGTGCTCCTTTGAGAACCAGGGCAAACAAGTTATGTGCACCCCGGTATGCAATGCATGCATACACACTTGCATACACACATGCAGGCGGTGTATGGAAGCAATTTTTCCAGGTTTTTATCCATTTTAAAAGGAATGTTATGGTCCGAAAAGCCAGGATGTTGGTCTAGGAACATCATGTTGACTTCTCTTACTCCTGTTGTAAATAAAAACATGCATCGTGGGGTTTTCCAACGGAGATGTTGTGGTATAAATCTAGTTTTTTATACTGCATAGTTAGCTTTTTTTACTGCAAAAAACACTCAATGTACTTAGAAATTAGTATAACTTCTCTAAATAGCGTTATTTATTCCTGCGCTGGATGCAACCCGCAATGTAGTTTACTGCATTGTTTACTGTTTATGCTCCTGTCACAGAGCTGGAGTTATACCACTAATGCATAGCAAACATTTCCTCCTGCTGCAGCTCCACATAAGGACACTTGAGAAGTGGTTGGTAGTTAACATTTCAGGGAGTAATGGAACAAAGTGCTAAAGAGCTGCAGGCGACAGGCAGCATATCTCCCGCCGCTCAGCGAGGGAACAAACTTCACTGCTGAGGGAAGATTACTTGTGTTGTGTGGCATGAATTCAGATCGACTCTTCTAAAACAATTTGGGTTTGAGTGGCAGCACCGCGAACACACTCCTCTCCTGAGTCTGACATTTTTATTTCTCCCAGATAAACTAAATAATATATTCTGATATTAAAGGTATTGGGGAGTTTGACTGCAATGTGAGAGAAGTGTTTTGTGGCCTGGATCATTGACAAAACACTTCTTTTTAAAATCACAATCGTAATGGAAAGCATACGGGATAGAGTCGTGTAAGAATGAGTCCTAAAACTCAGAAATGAGTAGACATTTTACCCCTACCTGTCCCCACAGCAAGGTCACATGACTTCAGGTCACCACCGCTAAGCTAAAGGAGGCTAACGTTGGGCTATAAAGGAACTACAGCACGATCACATGACTTCACGTCACCACCGCTAAGCTAAAGGAGGCTAACGTTGGGCTGTAAAGGAACTACAGCACGGTCACATGACTTCACGTCACCACCGCTAAGCTAAAGGTGGCTAATGTTGGGCTGTAAAGGAACTACAGCACGGTCACATGACTTCACGTCACCACCTCTAAGCTAAAGGTGGCTAATGTTGGGCAATAAAGGAACTACAGCACGGTCACATGACTTCACGTCACCACCACTAAGCTAAAGGTGGCTAATGTTGGGCTATAAAGGAACTACAGCACGGTCACATGACTTCACGTCACCACCGCTAAGCTAAAGGTGGCTAATGTTGGGCAATAAAGGAACCACAGCACGGTCACATGACTTCACGTCACCACCTCTAAGCTAAAGGTGGCTAATGTTGGGCTATAAAGGAACTACAGCACGGTCACATGACTTCACGTCACACCACTAAGCTAAAGGTGGCTAATGTTGGGCTATAAAGGAACTACAGCACGGTCACATGACTTCACGTCACACCACTAAGCTAAAGGTGGCTAATGTTGGGCTATAAAGGAACTACAGCACGGTCACATGACTTCACGTCACCACCTCTAAGCTAAATGTGGCTAATGTTGGGCTATAAAGGAACTACAGCACGGTCACATGACTTCACGTCACCACCTCTAAGCTAAAGGTGGCTAATGTTGGGCTATAAAGGAACTACAGCACGGTCACATGACTTCACGTCACCACCTCTAAGCTAAAGGTGGCTAATGTTGGGCAATAAAGAAACTACAGCACGGTCCCATGACTTCACGTCACCACCTCTAAGCTAAAGGAGGCTAATGTTGGGCTATAAAGGAACTACAGCACGGTCACATGACTTCACGTCACCACCACTAAGCTAAAGGTGGCTAATGTTGGGCTGCAAAGGAACTACAGCACGGTCACATGACTTCACGTCACCACCTCTAAGCTAAAGGTGGCTAATGTTGGGCTATAAAGGAACTACAGCACGGTCACATGACTTCACGTCACCACCGCTAAGCTAAAGGCGGCTAATGTTGGGCTATAAAGGAACTACAGCACGGTCACATGACTTCACGTCACCACCTCTAAGCTAAAGGTGGCTAATGTTGGGCTATAAAGGAACTACAGCACGGTCACATGACTTCACGTCACCACCTCTAAGCTAAAGGTGGCTAATGTTGGGCTATAAAGGAACTACAGCACGGTCACATGACTTCACGTCACCACCGCTAAGCTAAAGGAGGCTAATGTTGGGCTATAAAGGAACTACAGCACGGTCACATGACTTCACGTCACCACCGCTAAGCTAAAGGTGGCTAATGTTGGGCTATAAAGGAACTACAGCACGGTCACATGACTTCACGTCACCACCACTAAGCTAAAGGTGGCTGGCTTATTTCTGGGTTTTAGGACTCATACTGCTGAGTCACTGCCAGGTTTAACTCATTCCTGTACCACTCTATAATCGTATTCAATGTTATACCACAATCAGTTAAAGCTAGAACATTACCTGAAGGACTCATTCCTGCACCAATCTATAACAACATAATGGTTTCCTGTGGGTCTCACCTGATCTGCAGGTCCATGATGATCTGTCTCTGATCCACGTTCTCCGTGTAAACCTTGACCCCGTTGACCCTGAGCGGCTGCAGCACAAACAGAGGAAGCATTATGACCTCATCAGTCTATCAACAGCAACACCCCCTCAAGGTCGACCCCTGCTGACCCCCACATGGAAACTATTTATGAAACACATGTGACGGCATGTATATGTTCACTCACACCTGCTGTAGCTGCTGAAATAAACATGTGCTCGCTCTCAGAGACATGCAGGGACGTTAGCATTAGCATTAGCTCACTGCTGTTGATGTTTAGGGATTTTAAAAAGGTATTATTATCATCAACAGCTAGAAATGAGCCATGTTGGCTAAAGCTGCTCCAATTACTGTTTTTTGTGAAAGTTGATCAATGGGGACTGTCCACGGCACTATAACCAAATACACTAAACTAAACTTTGTCTCCCAGGGGGATCCTTCTAAGATCCAATCCAACTGTATTTATAAAGCACTTTAAAACCTCCAGACCAAAGTACAGAGGGATACATCAAATATAAAAGCACACAGCTCAGCTCACAAAACATAAAAATAAGTATAAAATCACATAAAATATACGAAACACAAAACAAACCAGAATAAACGTAACAATTACAAAATAAAAACATATAGTAAAATCAATAGACCACTGAAAGCCAATAAATGCAACAATCTACTTGGTTCCGAACGCTGAGGAGAAGAGGTGGGTTTAAGACGGGATCTAAAAGCAGACCGTGCGGGAGTCTGATGAGCAAGGGCAGGTCGTTCCACACCTTAGGGGCTGCAGCAGAGGAAGCACGGGGTGTTTCTCAATGTCTTCCGAGTCACTTGCTTCAGAAGCGAGGCAAGAATACTTCCTGGCATTCGGAAACGAAGAGCGGAACAGGCGAGCAGGTGTGCAGGTGTGCGTCATACAGTATGAGAGGCCTCTGCGCTTAGACTTAGTTGTTGGCACCCTCAGGAGCAGCTGATCAGCTGACCTGAGGGTGTGAGTGGGCGTGTAGCTGTGTGCTCAGAGAGGTAGGGCGAGGTCATTGAGGGCTTTCAAAGTAAATAAAAGAGTTTTAAACTGAATCCTCGAGAGAACGGGCAGCCGGTGGAGTGAAGCAGTTAGGAGCCGTGCTGCTGCACAGATAAGATAAGAAGTACTTATTTGCGTTGCAGCATGGTGACAAGACAAGGCGTTGTGCATCAATCAAATCAAATCAAGTTTTATTTATAAAGCACCTTTATAAACGATGTTTGGTGAGAGCCAAAGTGCTGAACATATAATAAAAACACCCTACAGTAGAGACGCTTTACAGCAAATACAACAACACAGACCCTCTGTCCTTAGACCCTCTGTCCTCAGACCCTCTGTCCTCAGACCCTCTGTCCTTAGACCCTCTGTCCTCAGACCCTCTGTCCTCAGACCCTCTGTCCTTAGACCCTCTGTCCTTAGACCCTCTGTCCTTAGACCCTCTGTCCTCAGACCCTCTGTCCTCAGACCCTCTGTCCTCAGACCCTCTGTCCTCAGACCCTCTGTCCTCAGACCCTCTGTCCTCAGACCCTCTGTCCTCAGACCCTCTGTCCTCAGACCCTCTGTCCTTAGACCCTCTGTCCTTAGACCCTCTGTCCTCAGACCCTCTGTCCTCAGACCCTCTGTCCTTAGACCCTCTGTCCTCAGACCCTCTGTCCTCAGACCCCTCTGTCCTCAGACCCTCTGTCCTTAGACCCTCTGTCCTCAGACCCTCTGTCCTTAGACCCTCTCTCCTTAGACCCTCTGTCCTCAGACCCTCTGTCCTTAGACCCTCTGTCCTTAGACCCTCTGTCCTCAGACCCTCTGTCCTTAGACCCTCTGTCCTCAGACCCTCTGTCCTTAGACCCTCTGTCCTTAGACCCTCTGTCCTCAGACCCTCTGTCCTTAGACCCTCTGTCCTCAGACCCTCTGTCCTTAGACCCTCTGTCCTTAGACCCTCTGTCCTTAGACCCTCTGTCCTTAGACCCTCTGTCCTCAGACCCTCTGTCCTTAGACCCTCTGTCCTCAGACCCTCTGTCCTTAGACCCTCTGTCCTTAGACCCTCTGTCTTTATACCCTCTGTCCTCAGACCCTCTGTCCTTAGACCCTCTGTCCTTAGACCCTCTGTCTTTAGACCCTCTGTCCTTAGACCCTCTGTCCTCAGACCCTCTGTCCTTAGACCCTCTGTCCTTAGACCCTCTGTCCTTAGACCCTCTGTCCTTAGACTCTCTATCCTTAGACCCTCTGTCCTTAGACCCTCTGTCCTTAGACCCTCTATCCTTAGACCCTCTGTCCTCAGACCCTCTATCCTTAGACCCTCTGCCCTCAGACGCTCTGTCCTCAGACCCTCTGTCCTAAGACCCTCTGTCCTTAGACCCTCTGTCCTTAGACCCTCTGTCCTTAGACCCTCTGTCCTCAGACCCTCTGTCCTTAGACCCTCTGTCCTTAGACCCTCTGTCCTCAGACCCTCTGTCCTTAGACCCTCTGCCCTTAGACCCTCTGTCCTTAGACCCTCTGCCCTTAGACCCTCTGTCCTCAGACCCTCTGCCCTTAGACCCTCTGTCCTTAGACCTTAAGAGAAATTAAAGACTAGGAATAAACAATCCAAAATGTAAACATCTCAAATAGCAATAAAATAGCATTAAAAGGAGATGAGCTCCAGTTTATCTTAAGTTTGCTTTGGACATTGGCGAATGAGCTTTCTTCCTTCCATTTAGTTACTTCCCTTTGTTTAGGAGGGAACGTAACATGCTGCTTGGATGAAAGTGAAGGTCGCTCCCACACAGCTTTCAGTACCACCTGAGGAAGGCACTGCTTTCATCTCCTTTCCCTTAAAAGAATCCGTGCACACTCTAATCTTCACATTTTGAGTGTATGCTAAGTTTGAAGCCATCTTAAAGAGGCCCTATTCTGCTTTCATCCCCTTCCTGTCGAGTGCTCTGTAGGTTTCAGTGCAAGTTAAGTACTGACTAAACTTCTTTACTCAAGTCAAAGTAAAGAGGCTTTGAAGTGTACTTCAGTAAAAAGTACCCATAACTAGCAGCTGCTTTAAAGAGTACCTGACCTCCCTTTATATTAATAGAACAATAATGTCATTGTTAGCTAATGAATGTTTCCATGCTGAACAACGGCAACATGACAACGTTTCCATTGGTCCCTCTTCTTTAGAGAAGACCAGGAAATGATGGATACACGGATCGTGTTCAAATCAATAGGCACGCAATGACTCTAAAGAATAATGATCACGCACCAAACACACATTCAGACTAAAGGAACCAGCTGTTGGAAAATGAGAGAAGTAGAAAGTACAAGTATTTTGAGTTCAACATGTAAGAAGTAAAAGTACAGGTATTTTGAGTTCAACATGTGAGAGAGTTAGAAAGTACAGGTATTTGAGTTCAACATGTAGAGTAGAAAGTACAGGTATTGAGTTCAACATGTAAGAAGTAGAAAGTACAGGTATTTGAGTTCACATGTAAGAAGTAGAAGTACAAGTATTTGTGTTCAACATGTAAGAAGTAGAAAGTACAGGTATTTGAGTTCAACATGTAAGAAGTAGAAAGTACAGGTATTGAGTTCAACATGTGAGAAGTAGAAGTACAGGTATTTGAGTTCAACATGTAAGAAGTAGAAAGTACAGGTATTTGAGTTCAACATGAGAGAAGTAGAAAGTACAGGTATTTGAGTTCAACATGTAAGAAGTAGAAAGTACAAGTATTTGTGTTCAACATGTAAGAAGTAGAAAGTACAGGTATTTGAGTTCAACATGTAAGAAGTAGAAAGTACAGGTATTTGAGTTCAACATGTGAGAAGTAGAAAGTACAGGTATTTGTGTTCAACATGTAAGAAGTAGAAAGTACAGGTATTTGTGTTCAACATGTAGAAGTAGAAAGTACAGGTATTTGAGTTCAACATGTAAGAAGTAGAAGTACAGGTATTTGTGTTCAACATGTAAAAAGTAGAAAGTACAGGTATTTGAGTTCAACATGTAAGAAGTAGAAAGTACCAGGTATTTGTGTTCAACATGTAAGAAGTAGAAAGTAGCAGGTATTTGAGTTCAACATGTAAGAAGTAGAAAGTACAGGTATTTGTGTTCAACATGTAAGAAGTAGAAAGTACAGGTACTTGTGTTCAACATGTAAGAAGTAGAAAGTACAGGTACTTGTGTTCAACATGTAAGAAGTAGAAAGTACAGGTACTTGTGTTTCAACATGTAAGAAGTAGAAAGTACAGGTATTTGAGTTCAACATGTAAGAAGTAGAAAGTACAGGTATTTGAGTTCAACATGTAGAGAAGTAGAAAAGTACAGGTATTTGAGTTCAACATGTAAGAAGTAGAAAGTACAGGTATTTGAGTCAACATTAAGAAGTAGAAAGTACAGGTATTTGAGTTCAACATGTAGAAGTAGAAAGTACAGGTATTTGGGTTCAACATGTGAGAAGTAGAAAGTACAGGTATTTGGGTTCAACATGTGAGAAGTAGAAAGTACAGGTATTTGGGTTCAACATGTGAGAAGTAGAAAGTACAGGTATTTGGGTTCAACATGTGAGAAGTAGAAAGTACAGGTATTTGGGTTCAACATGTAGAAAGTAGAAAGTACAGGTATTTGGGTTCAACATGTAGAAGTAGAAAGTACAGGTATTTGGGTTCAACATGTGAGAAGTAGAAAGTACAGGTATTTGGGTTCAACATGTAAGAAGTAGAAAGTACAGGTATTTGGGTTCAACATGTGAGAAGTAGAAAGTACAGGTACTTGTGTTCAACATGTAAGAAGTAGAAAGTACAGGTATTTGTGTTCAACATGTGAGAAGTAGAAAGTACAGGTATTTGTGTTCAACATGTGAGAAGTAGAAAGTACAGGTATTTGGGTTCAACATGTAAGAAGTAGAAAGTACAGGTATTTGTGTTCAACATGAGAGAAGTAGAAAGTACAGGTACTTGTGTTCAACATGTAAGAAGTAGAAAGTACAGGTACTTGTGTTCAACATGAGAGAAGTAGAAAGTACAGGTACTTGTGTTCAACATGTAAGAAGTAGAAAATACAGGTACTTGTGTTCAACATGTAAGAAGTAGAAAGTACAGGTATTTGAGTTCAAACATGTAAGAAGTAGAAAGTACAGGTATTTGTGTTCAACATGTAAGAAGTAGAAAGTACAGGTATTTGTGTTCAACATGTAAGAAGTAGAAAGTACAGGTATTTGAGTTCAACATGTAAGAAGTAGAAAGTACAGGTATTTGAGTTCAACATGTAAGAAGTAGAAAGTACAGGTATTTGTTTTCAACATGTAAGAAGTAGAAAGTACAGGTATTTGAGTTCAACATGTGAGAAGTAGAAAGTACAGGTATTTGTGTTCAACATGTAAGAAGTAGAAAGTACAGGTATTTGTGTTCAACATGTAAGAAGTAGAAAGTACAGGTATTTGAGTTCAACATGTAAGAAGTAGAAAGTACAGGTATTTGAGTTCAACATGTAAGAAGTCAAAGTAATAAGTAGTGGAGTAAAGTACTGATACCAGAAACATGTACTTAAGTACAGTAACGAAGTATTTGTACTCCACTACTTGCGGGACATTAGCATTAGCTCACCTTGTCTCCCAGGTGGATCTTGCTGAAGCAGAAGGTGCTCAAGTGAGCGTTGGACTCCTTCACAGCCGGCTCGATGGTTTCGTGGAACAGCTTCTCCACAAACTGGCAGATGTACGGCCACATCTGCTTCACCGTCTGAGGGGACACGGTGCATTTCAAGTCCAAAGACTCGTACAATAACATTCCCCATGAAAACTCAGAGTGCTCGTTTTAAATAAGCCATTTTAAGTGCTGGTGCTTTAGTTTGAACAGCTGTGTTTCCAGCAAGAAGTGTAGACTATAAGGAAGTGAAGATCAAAAGAGGAGTAATGTAGAAACAGACTAATGTTACCCTTTTCCATCATATCATTCATTTAAACGGAGATTCTTGCAGCGTTTGGTTTCTGCAGCTTTTAGTAGACGCTGCCATGTCTCCTCAAGTTGCTGAGTGTTCTCTAAATGCTGCATGTGTTGTCAAGTTGCTGGAGATGTTTCTTCTTGTGGGACATTTGTGTTTTTATATCTGCATCCTTTCTGAAGCTGCCATCGTAGCTACATCCCTGAAACTGAGTCATACAGCTACTTTGAAACACTCCAAATGTAGTGTTATTAAGGTAGAATCTTCAGACTCACAGCAAATGAATTGTAGATTTAAGATCAGTTTCATGTGTGCTTATGCGCGCTTTACAATTACATCCAGGTCGTTGCCATAGGGACTCACAGGGGTTAATGGATTTTCTAAGCGCTGCAGAGACCAGCCTGCATGTTAAGTGCAGTGTGCTGCAGAGTGTGTGTGTGTGTGTGTGTGTAGAGCCAGGCAACACACACACCCCCTCCCAGTGTGAGGAGGAGAGAGCACATCCCTTTCCCTCCAGTTCACAGACGGTAGACCGCAGAGCTTCAGTCAGGCGGACAAATCCAAGAAAGAGACGGCCACTCAATTCTTACCTTGTTCAGCCACTCCACCCTCTCTACGTCTGGGAAGTGGACCTAGCGTTGAGAAGAGAGAGGAGATAATCACTACAAATATATTGGTTTCAATGATAACACAACATCTTTTGAGCTACACTGAACAAAAATATAAACGCAACACTTTTGTTTTTGCTCCCATTTCTCATGAGATGAACTCAAAGATCTAAAACATTTTCTATTTACACAAAATAACCATTTCTCTCAAATATTGTTCACAAATCTGAAAAGATCAGTGATAGTGAGCACTTCTCCTTTGCCGAGATAATCCATCCCACCTCACAGGGGTGGAGGGGTAGGGTTCGGGTAATGTTGTGAATCGAGTGGCCCATGGTGGTGGTGGGGTTATGGTATGGGCAGGCGTATGTTATGGACGACGAACACAGGCCACTCGATTCACAACATTACCCTAACCCTAACCCTACCCCTCACACCAGATACTGACTGGTTTTCGGACCCCCCCAGACCCCCCCAATAAAGCAAAACGGCACGTTTCAGAGTGGCCTTTTATTGTGGCCAGCCTAAGGCACACCTGTGCAATAATCATGCTGTCTAATCAGCATCTTGATATGCCACACCTGTGAGGTGGGAGGGATTATCTCGGCAAAGGAGAAGTGCTCACTATCACAGATTGTTTCAGATTTGTGAACAATATTTGAGAGAAATGGTTATTTTGTGTTTATAGAAAATGTTTTAGATCTTTGAGTTCATCTCATGAGAAGTGGGAGCAAAAACAAAAGTGTTGCATTTATATTTTTGTTCAGTGTATCAGTTTAAAAAGGTGAAGAATCCATCTAAAAAAAGATGAGATATTTCATTAAATGATAGCAAAAGCATGCTGAGCATTCATCTCTACCTTTTCAAATGGTGTCAAATTATTGTATCTGTATGTAGAGCAAGTTCCAAGAGCAAGGCCAATCACGCTTTTAGTAAAAGATGTGATTAAAACAGTGCTTCTCAAAGTGTGGTCCGCGGACCACTGGTGGCCCGTGAGCGCCCCCTATTGGTCCGTGAGTATATTGGTAACATTTCACATTTGAAATAAATAAATACATTTAAGTTTTCCGCACTCTCGCGGGAATATCTCCGCAATGGAGCGAGCTTAAGTTTCACTTTCGATTGCATGATATAGCCCAGCGCAACACCTTCATCACACATGTGGCCACTTGTTTGTACCATTTTCAGGCGATTTGTAAAAAACGATGTGTTTTTGGATATTTGTGGAGTTAGGTGGTCCGCGAGTGTTTTTTTATTGGTTAAGTGTCCTTGGTCTGAAGAAGTTTGAGAAACACTGGAATAGACCAAAGAAAGAAGAAAAAAGCCTCATTCAATATCTCAAATAACTTAGCATTCAGCAGTGTTTCTGTAACCATCACTACAACCCCTCAAAGACAACAGAGAGAGAGAGAGTCTCTGTTCTGATGGATGACAAGAAAGATGTCAAAACTCTCTTCAAAGTGAAGGTCACTCCCACACAGTTTTCAGTACCACCTGAGGAAGGCTTTCATCTCCTTTCCTTAAAAACATCTGTGCACACACACTGTGAGTGTAAGCTAAGTTTAAAGCCACCTTAAAGAGCTTTGTTCCTCTCCAGGGTGTTCTGTGGGTTTTAGTGCATGTAAATGGTCTGCAAAGGATAAAATCCCAAAGTGACATCACTATGGAACACTGGGTCCAATAGTCCAAAAATCAGCTCCTATCGTCTATCCCTATCTCCTATTCCTTGACCTCTGAGTGAAACGTCACGGGGTTAAGGGATAGTGGATAGGAGAATTCAAAAGGACTTAGGAGAAGAGACTGTGGCACTTTAGAGAATCGACTGCACTTTCACTATCTGACGTGTTTATGATGCGCCAGCGGACGTCCTGAATGAGCGTCTGCTGCTGTGGGGAAACTATGGAAACTACAGTTCTCTATACAGCGGACTACAACATGGATGTTCAATAAGAACGAGGGACTCCTGTGAACTCATCTAGAGACTCTGTGCTCTGACGCTGTTGCTTTAGGCTTTATGAACGTGGACAACAGAGAAACAGATTCTTCAGGACCAAAGCTGGAATTGAAATAAAAAAGGAAAGTGAAGCTTCTGCTCGTCCCCCTCTCCCTCCGGTCCACATTAATACAAATGATCCCAATACGTATGATTGATGGAAAGATCTTAAATCAATACAGATGTATTTATTATAAACGTTAGTCCTTAACATCTATCACTGTGTATATCACCACTCAAACATCTTTTAAAAGTTGAACAAACCCCACAGCTCAGTAAAGACCAGTGGCGTTTTCTCCTGGAGGCCAACTTCCCCTGTTTTTTCGGATTGTAGTTATAATTTAAATAAATAAATAAAAACATTTTGTTTTGTTTCGATAATTCTCCTTTGCTGTGTTGCTGCCGGCCCGTCTCTCCCCCATTCTCATTGAGTATTTTACAAAGAGTGAAACAGCGCCCCTCTAGATGTTATGGTGAAACAGTAGATGGCACTCTCTGCTGCGAGAGGAGGCCAGCCGAATCTGGTTTCCCTTGATGAGAAAAAAATGGAGGGATTGACCAATCAGATGAGGCTCACATGATGCCCCTGCCAACCTGTGATTGGTCAGGGCCATGCCAAGGGAAGCAAGAGGCGGCTGGCTTCCCTTGCCTCACAATCCAATCAAATCGCATCAACTTAGTGTTGCAGTGACGCGTCCTAAAACCCGGAAGTATGCTGCGCTCGGTTTCCCTCCACAGAAAGCAATGGAATTTCTCCATAGGATTTAGGAAAATAGCTCGAAATAAAGTCAGTGGAAAACGAACCTGTTGGATAAATGCACGTTGTGTTCAGTCGGATAATATCCACATGTCTACCCTACTTTTATCATTTTCTAATCATAACTCTAATCGATAGAAGATAGATAGCGTCACTGCACCACTCTCACCGCCGTTAGAAAGTAGCAAGCAACTGAAGCAAGTGCAATTATGGAGGGTGGAGATTTGGAGTATTTAATCAAAAGTAATTGTACTAAACTTCCGCTACAGCAGCAACAACAAATACAATCTGATGACAGGCTGATGCCCAAACTGGAGCTGTGTACAGCGAGGAAAACACGAGCGAATCGGACGTAAAACGTTAAAGGTCTCCTGATTTAGTTTGTGAATTAATGCTTATTAGAGTTTGGGCTGGAGAGTGCGTGCGGACCTGTCGGTTAGATAACAGGCGTGTGTGAGTCCTGCATCTGTATGATACAAATGTGTGTGAAATGATGCTGTAATCACTCATCTGGTTACGTTATCACATTGACCACCACACCCCCGACCCAAAAGAAAGGACGTATTATTGGCTTCCCCTAATTTTTTTCCCACGCCACGCTACTGGTAAAGACTGTGAAATGTTGACTTTATTTGATAATTTCAGTAAAAACTAACGTTCATATTTCTCTCTGTGATTATAATACTGATGAACGTTCAGAACAAAGCACTTTGGCAACTTACCACATACGTTTTAAAAAGCTTAATAAGCACCGTAACGTTCATGATATCATTTCTCCGTCATAATCGGTTGTTTCCGTGAACGGCCGACTGTTGTGTGACGGCAAATGCTGCGGCTGCAATGCATTGTGGGGCAGCATTTTCTCCTCTCCTTTCGGTTAGGGAGGTCCAGTGGTTCCTAAGCTAAAGGAGGTTATAAAGGAAGTTTGAAACCTCCTTTCCTTTCATTTGGAGAATTGGAACGGCACTTATCATGGCTGCCACTGAGGGACTTCCGGGTCATTTCACTCCGTTAGGAAGGTTCCTAAGAGAAACGGACTATTGGAACGCAACCACTGGTTTCAGACAGAGGGCAGCATGAGAAAAATAAAGAGCTTTTTGAACATTAAAGCATGGAGACATGACACAAATCTGAACCTGGAAATGAGGAGAATAGGGACCCCTTTAAAAGGCTGTTGAATATAGAGGTAGATTAGGATGACTTCATCAACCGTCTGCTTTTAATACTTCTCAAAACAAAACCAATAGAAACTAATCTGATGTCTCCAGACCTCCACAGATCTGTGCGATTGAGCTGAGAGACGGAGCTGAAGTTTGACTGATCTTCTCTAACGAGCAAAGTAAATCGAGCATCGATCCGACACGAGGTAAAGGTAGCGGCAGGAATGAAGTCAATACCGTGCACACACATCACCTCAATAAATAATAGACAAACATCTCTGTTCAACCACATGTAGTGAAAGGGTTTATTTCCCGATGTGAAGATAGAGTGAGGTTCCAGGCTGTGTGTATTTGACATTCAGTGCGACAGCTACAGAGCACTATTCCTCATGGAAGTGGCAAGAAGTGCTTCTCCAGCGTTTCTGTCACACTGAGGATGAAGCAGGAGCAGAACATTCAGACCTATAGTTTTCTTATGAGGTGGAAATAATATCATCCTGTGGAAGAAAAGGCTGGCTTTATTACATCTGACACAGTGACCTTATTCTGGGAAAGTAGGTGAAGGGATGGCATGTAAACAAAGCAGCTCAATTATTCAGATCGCTGCTCTCCTAGTGAAAAGATGCAGAAGTAATGGGACTTTATATTATTTAGAGTGTGATTAAACTAAAAGAGGTAACCGCCTGAGATGAGAAAGTAATCAGGAACCAAGTGGAAAAGGTTCATGTTCAGGTGTATATCAGTATGTAGTGTCTCTACTTTAAAGAGTCCTCTCCTGCTGATGTTCAGGTGTATATCAGTATGTAGTGTCTCTACTTTAAAGAGTCCTCTCCTGCTGATGTTCAGGTGTATATCAGTATGTAGTGTCTCTACTTTAAAGAGTCCTCGTCCTGCTGATGTTCAGGTGTATATCAGTATGTAGTGTCTCTACTTTAAAGAGTCCTCTCCTGCTGATGTTCAGGTGTATATCAGTATGTAGTGTCTCTACTTAAAGAGTCCCTCTCCTGCTGATGTTCAGGTGTATATCAGTATGTAGTGTCTCTACTTTAAAGAGTCCTCTCCTGCTGATGTTTCAGGTGTATATCAGTATGTAGTGTCTCTACTTTAAAGAGTC